ATATATATTTATAAACAAATAAATGAATATATATATATATATATATTTATATATATATATTTATATATATTTATAAATAAATAAATATATATATATAAATATTTATATATATATTTATATATAAATAGATGATATATATATATATATATATATATATATATATATATATATATATATATATATATATATATATACATATATATATATATATATATATATATATATATATATATATATATATATATATATATATATATATATATATATATATATATATATATATTACACCCCCTTCCCCTCCCTCCCTCCCTCTCACACTAACTCTTACACTCACTCACTCACTTCCCTTTACTCTCTCCCTCTCTCCCTCCCTCACAAATAACGCACTTTTGTGATTCAAAGGTGTTCATGTCCTTCTATAGTCTATCTTACTGTCTTACATTTCTCTTCAAAACTAATCAAACAGATCTGTAGGCCTGCATTTTTTTCCAAATGTGCCAACCATATTTTTTTATATACTAGTCACTTTCTTAAAAAGTACATGGTTTTGCACCAGCCTATTACTGATAAAATGAAAGACCTAAACAAATAAAACATGAAATTTAATGAATACTAACCCTGGCTTCAATAGATGTGACTAAAACCAAATTGACTTATCATATACATGTCTCAAAAGAAACTTATCAAAACTAATTTTGAAGTGCCTGCATGCAAACTTATAAGCTTACAATTTATGCAAAACCCACTATACTTTTTAGTGAATTTTGAGATGCACAGATGGCTCCACAAGTGCTCTGCCACTAAAGAGCTAATTAGCAGGTGCTAATGACCATATGATTTCCCTGTCTTTTAAAATTTACATGGATTTTTTTTCTAATGCTATTAATATCAATGCAGTTATTATAGTTATTAACATAACTATTATAAAGTTATTAAAACACTAAAAAAATATTGAAATAACAAAAACAAATGTTCCTGAAATTCAAGGAAAAGGGTAAATAGGTGTGACAGATTGGACTAATCCTCAATAAACTAATGTTATTCTGGACAAGGCATTATGCTATGACAACTACCGTCATTGGATTAAACAGCACAGTCCTCTTACAGTTTCTTCCATGGACACTGAATGATATTTTTGGATAGTAATACAAATGTTGTGAATCCATAAACTTTTTCTTATTCTACATTGTATTAAAAACAGAGGATTCTAGTCACCCATAGAAGTAAATTTTCCTGTAAACTTTAAAGAAAACATTGAGAAAAAGAAATAATGATCTATATACATTAACACACTATTGAAGAATTATAAATTTGTTGACAGCTAAGACTTTCCAAAATTGCGATTATATGCAGCTAATTCCTGATCAGTAAGAACAGCAACAATCTTGGTAACCTGAAGATTCTCTGGGTCCATCTCTTCACTCACTATTCCAGCAACATTACGTAACCATCTGCAAATAAGTTGGATTTGTTATGAAAGATATGTATTGTAAAATTCCATTCCATTCCACTTCATCTCATGAGCTTCCCACCAGTAGTTAGACATGGCTTGGATGTTTCTTTTAAAAGAAATATACTGCAGGATATTCCTCACATAACAGTACAAACAACTTACTGTATTTCAGGAGAGCCTGTAGGCAGGGAAAATCGCCATGATCGTCTCCCAGTCACCTTTAGCACCACTTCTTGTAAATAATCTAAAAATTCTGGAATACCTATAATAAGAAAGTACAAAAAAAGGTTGCCTTGAGTTCAAACAACAAAGATTTATAATCACACACACTGTTGTAACATATACAGTAAATCCTTGTCATGAATATTTCCCTTACCTTGACCAGTGGTAGCAGACAGCATGTGTTCTCCAAATTCATTTTCAGGCTTCACCAAGGTTAAATCAACCTTGTTTGCTACAGTGATAACTGGTGTGTCTTCTGGGAGTGGGAGCGATGACAGCGTTTCATGTACTGTAATGCCTTGCAGCTCATAATCTGGGTGGCTGGCATCCCGTACATGGATCACTACATCCTGAAATGTTATTTTTGTTAGGCACAACACTATCTTTTTTTACTATATACTTATATCTGCTATAATTTTCTTTTTATGGAAGTGGAGGTGGAGAAGGAGGAGATGGAGGAGGAGGAAGATGAAGAGAGAGGGAGACTGAGATCAGGGATAAAGGCAGAAGGGAGAAACCAGAATAAGGGACACAAGGAAATGTCATACTAATACAATTTCTGCATTGTATACTTACAGCACAAACAGCATCTTCTAAAGTTGCCCTAAAGGATGCGACCAATTCTGTTGGGATGTCTTGTATGAATCCTACAGTATCAATAAAAGCAACTTCAAGGCCACAAGGAAGTCTGCCTCCATGAGCCGTGACATCCAGGGTAGCAAAGAGACTGTTCTTTCCTTCAGCTCTTTCGTCTCCAGTGACGGATCGAATCAAGGATGTTTTACCTGCAAATGTGCATTACACACCCTAAAATATATTTGCATAGCTATTTACTGTAATATAACGTTATCATATAATAAGAAATACAAAAATGACCATATTAGCATAAAAAGCTTACAAAAAAATGTGTAGTTTATATATATAAAAAAATATGTATATATATAGATAGATAGATGCAGATACAGATACAGATACAGATACAGATACAGATATAGATACAGATACAGATATAGATACAGACACAGATATAGTTATAGATGTGGACAAGGATACAGACATAGATGTAGATATATATATGGATACAGATACATGGACATATATACATATACAGCTATGAAAACCATAAACAAAAAAATGCATGCTAATAAGGATAGTCACCTGAGTTGGTGTACCCTACAACAGCAACAGTGGGTAAATTTGACCTGGCACGCCCTCTTCTTATTAATGCTCTTTTCCTAGCTAGTTTGTTCAGGGCATTGCGAATACGTTTCTCTCTCTCCATTATAACCATTCTTTCTCTCTCTCCAGGAAGTCTTTTCCTGCAAAAGATAATAAAACAATAAAACAGTGCTATAGAATTCAAATTACCCTTAAATAAATACTTATGTAGCTTAACTTCATGGCAACTATTTCCTGGAGTAAAATTATAATTATAACATGTAAGTCAGTACGTAAGTAAGTACTAAATACTGCATAACATAGCTAGCACTCAAATATTAACTCTTCATTCTTCGCATAACAAAATTCTGCCATCTGACAAACCTGATATAGGGCAACTCGGCAAGGGCAACCTGCAACTTCGCCTCTCTTGTGTGAGCGTTGTGTTGGAAGATACTAAGGACTACAGAGTACCGATCCCAGACCTTCATGCCAAAGGCTGCTTCTAGGTCCCTGTAACCAAGAAAACAATCATGTCATGTAAGCATCAACTACAGGAGAAGTATCCACAAAGCAAGGCAGCAAAAGGTGTTCTCCCTATTACACCCATTTCATAAGCTAATAATTTTATACCCATATTCACATAAACTGTGTAACTGTTGATATTACATAGACCTGCATAGTAGCTAACAACTATACATATAAGAAAAAAAAAGGTAAATAAGCTATTAGAGATTGCAATAATATTTGGACCATGAAAGTTCAGCATGATTAGTAAATTAATGATCATATAAATGATTAATATACTTCTGTAGTGCCATGCATATTATGGAGCAACATTTTTTGCATAACCTAGTTATCTGTAGCAATATCAAAATAGTAGTAGGTTGCTCATAAAGTCTGCTTCTGATGATGGGACACAGATAATAAATTAAAGACAAGGTATATTAAGACAGCACACATAAAATTAGTCTTCTAAAACATACCTTTGTCAATAATGTTTAAAACATGCATAGAAAACAACATATGCTTACTCTATTTGACTTCTCTTTAACATGTCAATACTGATAAACACAGATACTGCCATCCGATTGGTGCGAGCCTCTGAGACAAGCCTTGCGAGAGTTCCAGAACCAAATATCATCCTCCCATCCAAACTCTTCACGGGTACCACTTCCTAATGAAGAAAGCAAAATTTTAGCACTCAACAGAGTTTGGGCAATACATTAAATGTATCAATGAACAAACGATTTCCCAATGTATATATATATGAGGGAGTTTTTCAGAAAATATGAATATTAGATAACATCACAAATCACAAAGAGCATGAATGAAAACACTCCATCTTAGAACATCATTAATATAATGACAAAAAAAAAAATACTATACTTAAAACAGATTAATCTCCAACAAAGCTCGTATTGAACTTTTGGAAGATTTTGAAACTGTTGTTTCATTCTCCAAGATAGCAATATTGTTTATATTGACCTTTTTTGCCCCAAAAAGCATTAACAGCCCTCTTCCTTTTTACCTTCGCCACAACCTTGACTCCTGGAAGTGTAGACACCAACGTTGCTGCCTCCTCCAGCATCAACTGTGCGGAAGTGTTCTGCTTCATTTTTGGTCCCCACTTCACCCATGGCTGCAGAACTATAGTCCCAATCTGACCGACACTCCCAGAGAGGTACTTCCTGATGTTCAAGTCGTCCATGCCTTCCCTTAGATTATTGAAATCCGGATCTTCGAGGATGCTCTTCTCAATATCCTCATCTGTGTCCTCTGGGGGAGGCGTCACTCTCTTGGCGGCCTTTTTCTTCTTTTTTAGCATGGATTTTGAAGTGGTGAAGCTTCTCCTATGGTTTAAAATTGTACTTCCTAAGTGGTAACTGTTGCAAATACCTGTATGTTTGCTTCCTCGGTTATCCCCATTCTGAACTTTGTGGTTTGGACACTTGACATTCTGCACAGTACAACTCTTGGAAAAATTAACTGAAACAGTACTTGTACATCTGGAGCTGTTTAAGTATACCTGAGAAAATTTCATATACAATGTTCTATGAACAGACTTTCCCACATGTGAACTCAAAAAGAGAGCCATTTTGTTTATAAAATAATTCTAAAAATCTTTCAGAACAACAGGAAAATCTGATTTCTACATTTCCATTTTCTATTCTTCCTCTACTTCAACTGGTTTTTCTCTTTCAGAAATGGGGTTTAAATATGTATGTTTATCTTCAGCTGCCATCCACCCAGCCTGGCAAGCCTCTGCCCTTATGGATGTGACTTTGTATGCAACAGCACAAGCAAGCAGACTGGACACTATGATGTGATTCTTGCGCCCATAAGGCAGATATTTGCTTGTCAGATGCTGTGTAATGTATGTTCCACCAAATGCTGAAATGTAAAATAATGTAAATTAATGAACATAATTCATTGCAACAAATAGTGAAAAGGTATGAATGAGAATGAATATCTTCACAGCACAAGAAATGCATTTGACCAGTTTCAATTATATCTTGAAACCGGACAAATACATCTCTTACACTGCAAATATATTCATTCTCATTCACACCTTTTCCGAAATAAAATGTAAAATAAATCTGACTGAATAAATAACTTTCTCAATAAATCTATCTATCCCTAAGTATCACAGTCTATTTTTTTTGTGGATATATACCTGAACTATTTACCTAGACAGAAGGACGAGAGGCCAGTCAGAAGAGTACGAGACATGCACTCCATGTAGCCTCCGAACGCTGGGAAGGCCTCTTTGTACTGGTTGATCAATTCTGTGTTGTTATTCATCTTCCCTGGAAATGTAGAAAATCATTGAGAAAGAGAATTATGCAAAAAGAAAAGAAAAGAAAGAAAGAAAGAAAGAAAAAAACATTATTCTACATATGATAGCTTAAAAATTAATTCTGTTCTCAAAATTGTGGCTTTAGATTACAGCTTCAGGTAGATTACTGGATTTTGTCTCTTCCATGAATATCAGAAGAGCCAAAAGTCTGCTACAATAAGGCTTAAAATACTTTATTCTTCTACAGTGGAATCCACAAGATATGTCACATCCAGCATGCTAGCTTATATCAAAGTCACTATTACTCTCACTGATCTCAGGTTGGTCCAGATTCCGAAGCACTGGGAAAAGCTCATATTACAGTGACTAACTACTTGGATTTTAACCCCTTGCCGCCGGGTGACGGCGATACGCGTGTAAACAAATCGCTTCAAAGGTGGCGTGCGGCCAAACCAGCCGGCGGCGCGCCAAAGCGCGGCGAGCCAGTGATTCGGGCTGACGCCCCGTACTCCGGCGCTCAAAGTCGGCGCGCTGCCTTTGTTTGCCAGAGCGTAGAGTTTTATTTTCCTTTAGTACACCCGGCGTCATTGGGTTAAGTTTTGTGTGATAATCCCTTAAGGCTTTCATAGAATCCAGGGATGTCCATGAAGATACTCCTAATTTAGACTATGATACCACACAGCAACCCTAATAAGGATGAAGTTCCTAATACAGACTCACCTAAATAAAAAAAAAAATAAAAAAGTAGTGGCAAAAGCAGTGTTGTCTGTAGTTTCTCCCCAAATACATCTGTGCCACAGTATTTTCAACTAATTCCTTTCACCTTTTCAATAATTTAAATTTTTTCAAGCAGCATCTCTGATATGTGTTGATATCCAGCTAGATCTGGTAATGATACTAAAACTATTCCCTCGATCAACACGAATTAAACTATATGTTTCAATCACATAATTTCAATATCTAAGACGAGATAATGGGAATTCAATGATTATTATAAGAAAAGTACTAGTATTGATGTAGAGAACTGTCGCGAACTTGTAAAATATTACAGTTAGTTTAAATTACTTAAATACAATAGGCAAAGTAAACAAACGAAACTCGTAAAGGTTAATCACATCGGACCAAAGCAATTTCCACAGAGTTAAATAACCAAAATCATCACCGAGAGAATATCTAACATGCATACATTTCATACAAGACAGCAGAATGACATGTATCTTGTATGATACCTACCTACAAATAACGCGAGATCCGAGACTTGTGTTAAACCATAATTCTCCAACAATTACATAAACTAAGAGTGTTATTCCTGTCGTTTCCTGAGCCGTGTTTTGCTCTCTCGCGAATATGTAATCGTTTGGTTACGAGCTTATAGCCTTTGTTCCAGCTATTTGTTTTTTATTCCAACGAACACTTTTGACTGTCTAGGTCTAGGGAATTGGTTCAGTTTTATTGTTAAAGTGCTTTTGGCACAGGAACCCTACATAGGTGAGAAATATCCGAAGATAGCAACAAGAATATCTTTAAGCTCGTAGTGTGGATAACAGACAATCAGCTGATCAGAAATAAACAAAGATAGTTGCCACAAAGTCCGTATTATTAGTGTTATTTGCCGGCACAGTGGAGGTGCTGCTTAGCCGGAGAGCCGACGAAATTAAAATACAAGGGAGTGATGTTCCAGCAGCTATAAGGAAACCGCACACAATCGCCGAGAAGGCTTAAATATGGGGAAATAATATGATGTTGGGCGCCTGCGCACAGTGGGAGAGTCGCCTCACACACCCACCCCTTCGATCCTGTCCTTATCTCACTGCGTTGTTGAGAAATTGTGGGGAAGGACAACGGCGAGTTATAAG